AAGCAAGCAAACAAGCAAACGAGCAAACAAGCAAACAAGCAAGCTCCAAAGCAGCTTGCAAACCGTCTTTCGAGGAATCTTATCCAGGTCTCTCACTGGTCCGCGTCCTGAGGGATGGCAGCCCAAAGTAGTCTATGATGGGAGCCTGGCGATGCCATGTGGCGATTTCTCTCCCAGAGTTTAGCAGCTTGACTCTACGTTTCCGGATGCGCATGCCGATTTCGCTGTGCAGTGATCTAAGAACCCTCTCAAGCTAACATGCTAGACATGGACTGGGCAACTTCTGTGGAAGTTGTCTCCGGACACCAAGGTTTTGCATGGGAAAGTGCACCCACCGCATGATCACGCACACGATACACTTTAGTTGCTTCCTTGTCCTGCTCTCTCAAGTGAGTGTAAGGGTCGAACAAGAAGCAGCAGGGGATCTGAGATTTGACATACACAGATCCCAGCATGATCAATTGATTCATGCCTGAAAAGAATGGAAGCCACAGCAAGGCCCAGGGTCCAAAGCTCGGACCCCTTAACATAGCTGCAGCTTGCTTCCAACAACCCTAGCATTGAATGCAGGTCTTGCGAAAGCGGCCTGTCTTGGGTTTCTTCGGCCGTTTAACCAGCTGCCCGCTGGCACCAACAAGTGTGACTAATAAGGGGTTTATGAGTCACCAACAACCCCCTGGATTTCTCAAGCTGATCCAGCCGCAATCCTTCAACCTAACTCCACCTCAGTGTCTGGCAGTCCCCTGAGCTCAAAGGTTGAGAAAAGAAGCACTGCTACATGGATACATTTAATTTTAGCGCCCGAAAAAAGAAGGTGGCACCTGGGCACCTTCGCAGTTGATTCAAATGGGCTAATTCGCTAGTGCCTCGGGGGTCACGCATCAGCGTTAACAATTACTATACGGGCAACCGATGGCCTGACTTCATTGCACGCCCTCATGAACTGCCACCGGCCATTTTCGCCACTCCAAATGCCGCTCCCGTGCTGCGTGGGCCAGGTATGACGGTCACCGCTCGCCCTTCTTCCGAGCTGCCTTCAGCGGACACACAAGGGACAGTCATGGTCACACCATTGATGATGCGGGACTATTCGCAGATTTCTTGCTTGACAAGCATGCCTGAATTCCGAGCAAGTTGCGAGACATGTTTCCTAAACCTCAAACTGAAGCAAAAACCAAGACTGGCATTCCAAGACAGGAGCCCCCCAAGACGGGTGGTGTCCTTAGTCTGCTTTCGGTGTTCCATTAAACTATTATATATAAACAAAGACATCCTTTCAAAAAACATGTTGGACATGTCTCCCCCACCCCAAGCCAGGCCACTTGCATGACCATCCCCGCGCAGTCGTTCTTTTGGTTCAGGAGGGGCAACGTTGTTCTCGAATCCAGCAGCTGCCTCCACCAAGCACAGAAATGTTGGGCTTCTCTGTGGTTCCCTGTGGCTTCTTTGTGATTTCACCAACATCCAAAAGGGCCCCCAGAGGGCCACACGAGGAAGCCAACACATACGGGCAGGTCTACAGCTGGCCTCAAATGGCGCTTCTTGGACGCAAACTCCGTGCCGGTTCGCTGGCACATGATTATATGTTTCCGGGTGTAGGTTAAGCTGGAATTTGAAATGCCGCCGAGTGGGTGAGTTCCAACAACCAACAACCGTCAATCCCTTTGCAGAACCCATCGGCCCAGTGATTGCCTCAACTTGACACGGGTTCTCACTCTGCTCTGGCCTTCAAACTGGATATACACATATATATATAATATACCGTTTTTGCTTTTTATCCGTATGGTGTACGGGCATGATCTAATTTTGTCCCAGGGGTTCAATTTCCATTTGTTCAACAAAAATCGTCCCCGTTGAGGACATCATTGTCATTCGAATGTTTCTCCACCAGCCTGTTTCGAAGGGTGTTCTCCCTATGTCTCTTATCCACCAAATGAAAGATACCCCGTCGCCTCCTTTGCACGTCGTTCGTTGCTCCAGCAATCGGAAACCCGATTCATTGCAAGTACTCCGCCTCGAACTGCCGGCCTTGGCGAGAGAGACACGGTATGCTCTTGGCCCCAGGGCACGTTTTTGGAGCTACTTTGCAGGCTTGTTTGCAAGCGAGTAAACTATCCAGTTCTGGGCAGGGTATCCCTTTCTGCACCTGTTTGCGAAGAAACATGAGTGAAAACCACACATTCCGAGGGTTGCCTTGTGGAGACAAACCTGCATGTCACAGCGCACCATGAATGGCAGAGCACCTCCATCTATCTGTCAGTGTCTCACTGGTCCTCTCACACAAATGTTTCACAGATCCTTTTACTTCTACACGTCTACATGATCAATGTTCTTTGTACCGTGGTGTGTCCGTTTAACAAGCACACAAACACAAACACAAACACAAACACACACAAGCACACACAAACACACACACACAAACTCACACACAGACACACACACACACAAACACACACACACACAAACTCAAACACAAACACAAACACAAACACAAGCACAA